AGATAATTTGGAATACACACATATCTGTAATAGCAAGCTATGTTAAAATGTGACATCTGGGGCTTCCCTGGTGGCGCAGTGGTTGAGAGTCCGCCTGCCGATGCAGGGGACACGGGTTCGTGCCCCGGTCTGGGAAGATCCCACATGCCGCGGAGCGGCTGGGCCCGTGAGCCATGGCCGCTGAGCCTGCGCGTCCGGAGCCTGTGCTCCGCAACGGGAGAGGCCACAACAGTGAGAGACCCGCGTACCGCAAAAAAAAAAAAAATGTGACATCTGTTGTGACACAAAGAAAAACAGAAAAGACATTTTCCAGTCACAAAATGCTACGTAAATGAAGACCATTAAGAGTTCAAAATAGATATATCACTTGATGGTTACATCAAGAATATGACACAAAAACTCCTAGATGTGAGGTCAAATTTATAGCACTTTCTTTGGTTCTTAAAAACAACAACAAAACAAAACAATTACCACTGAATGGCTTTTTGGATCCTGGGAGAAGTGGATTGTCACACTGACATTGGCTATGTTCAGAATCACATTCATATTCATTAACTAATCCTTTATCATCACTCAAGGAATGTGAACTGTTTGACGGTTCAAAAGAATATTCAAAACAATCTAATTTATTCATTAGCTGAGAAGTTCTTTGTGCCTGGTAACTATGCCTAGGGGAACAGTGATCTTCTTTAAATATTTGATAAATCCTTTGACTATTTGTATCGGGCAGCAAGTCTTGATTGTAGAGCCAGACTGGGTATTTGAAATCCGGTATACTCGTTATCCCTGAAACATTAAGGTCAGACTTCTGGCTAGTGAGCCATCTTGGGTAATTCTTTTCAAGTTTGTGTTCTGAACTGTCCCTAAAAGATGATTTCTTGTTAAAAGATAAAGATGGTACAGAAACACACTTATTAACCTTATTCACAAGTTTTGGGTTTTTCAGCCTACCACACTGCTTTCCTTTTACATTTGTGTATACAACTGGGGTAACTAAGTTATCCTTGCCCAGTAGAGTGGCTGGTTCTTGAAAATTTTGATTCTTTTCACTGTTGGATGAACTCAGTCTTCCAGTATGTTTTTTGCTTTTCTTGCTAATTCCATGACCTGCTCCAACATAACTGAAAGAAAATGATCCATCTGCTGGAAGTTTTAATAGATCATCAGTTGTTAGGCTAATGGAGTCCATGTCATTAATAGTCTGTCCTCTACAGGATAAGGACAAATCTTTTTTGTCATCAAGATTTTCAAAAGCTGAAAAACAAAGCATAGTTCTGTTTACCTTCCTGTATCACATATAAAAATACTTTATAATATTCAACAGTAAATGAAAATTAAGAATTAAGAATCATGTTTGCCATTTTCCCTTCCGGAATATATTCTCCACTTCTAAGAGTAGAATGTAACCTTTTTCCACACTAGGGGCCATTCTGTAAGTGCTCAGTAAAGTGTTAACTGGATTATCAACAGATGCATTTTCCAAACTTGTATTCATGGAAACCTTACCAAGGAAAAACCCTTAACATCTTGTGAATATTACTGTCCTACAGAATACAGATCAGGAAGACTAATATAGCCCTAGCCCATCAATTGGAACTGATCAAGTATAAATTCTGAAAGGCTGAGATTTGTTTAAAGTCATTAAGCTAGTTAATGGAAGCTAGAACCACCAAGTCAATGCTATTTCTGTTATGCTATAATAGAACGGCTTAAGGGTTTAGGATCAGCCATCTACTATTATTAGTTACATTTCATGAGCTTCTCCTCTAAGGTCAAAAGGGGATCTTACCTGAAAACCCCTGAGAACCAGAAAATTACAGAATCATTTAAGAAATATAACCAGATCTCAATATTACAAATCATTTTTACCCCAAAAGAAGCATTTAGTTTTCCAAGGCTACAATACATCTCTCAAAATGCTTTAAATCGGTAGGCAAAAAGAAAACAAAGAATAAAGCATACCATTCTTTGGTTTATAAACATAGTTGGAGAATTCTGGCATATTAGCAGAACATTTATCGATGTTAATCTTTCCAGTGCTTGCACCAAGATACATACAGCTTAGATCAAAATCATCAATATAGGCCTGTAGAGCCTGAGATGCAGAACTGTACAGTCTATCCTTATACTGAAAAGAGCCATCAGAGTTAGAGGAATTACTACCACTCAGGTTGCAGCTTGCTAACAGAGAAGATACTGAAGATTCCCGAGAACAAACTCTGTGCTCTGTATTTAATTTTGCCATGGCTTCCTCAAAATGGGTTATTTCCACTCATTTCTCTTAGAAACAACTGTAATACAAAAACAAAAGGTTAAAGTTCCAATTAAAAGGAATAATAGCTGTACAGAGAGAAATTACTAAATCTGTAAACATTTTATAACTTTCTTTAAAAAATAAAATCCATTATCTATAAATTATTTTTAGGTAATGTACATTATAGATTATCTGTTTTAATTACTGTGAATTCCTTCATCATCAATTTAGAAAACATTTATTGATCACCTATTATGTGCCTGGAATTATGTATACAAAAATCATCTAAGACTATGTATAGAAAGTACCAAGGGAAGAATACTCACTTTTTTTTTAAAGTCCTAAAAACTACGATGTACAGTCTTTTCTTATGCTGATATAGGCTATGACATCACAATACCTAACATTCCCTATACAAAATATTTTTCAATTCTTAAGCCTACCACCACGCGCTGCACATAGTAGGTGCTTGATAAATTTTTAAAAGGCATCAAATGACGTAGCTGAAACAAGAAGGAACAATGGAGAATACCCACCTTCAACATTTTAAATGCTAATTTGTAACTTCAGCCAACCCCTTCCCCCAAGACTTGAGAAAACAAAACAATTTACAATATTCATTTATAAAGAAATAAACTGCAAGTCTTACCATATAATGAGCTAGCAAAATGTTCTTTTCCTAAAATAACACTGTCAATAATCATTTTCTGACATTCATTTTTGATACTATCCTCACTATTTTCAATTCTTATGTAAAATGGATTCAGCCCACCTCTCTTTCAAAGGAGACAATAGTTTGGAAACTGCTTTAATGTATTCATCTGTTTTTCCATTATTAAAATTGAGAGAATTCCAGTCTACCTTAATATAGCAACAATAGGATCTATATTTGAAAACCTAAGAAATAACAGAGTGAACAGGTACTACTTCAGTAAATAATATGACATTCTTTTAGAATTAAATCAATGGATTTTCTGAAGTAAAAATGAAAGCTTAATGTCTAGGACTTAACACATGCTATGATGTTATAAAATTAATGTTTAATTTTTGGCTATAATTTTTGGAATGTTAAAGTTTTAACAACTTTTAATGTAATCTTAATAACTGTCAAATTTGACTTTAAAATACTGAGAAAGTTTTCCGTTTACGAAGAAAAGAGTAAAAGGTCAGAGCTGACACTAGTCAGTGCAAAGCAGCAGCAGAACATAAGATAATGGTTATTTAGCCTCTGCTTTCCCTGAATGCTGTGATGCTATTGGTATACCTCTAAAGAATGGCTAGGCCAAGTCAGCTCTGCCCTTTCTTCACCCCTCTCACTAATGATTTTAACTTTTCTCAAGTAAATATTGCTTGGATCACAAACTTGACCAAACGTTTCCTCCCTTATTCCAACACAGGACAGGTTACCGATTTTGTAATTTATTTTACAAAACCTTGAAAACGAAAACAAAACCCTAAGAAGGAAAGCTGTTGGATTACAGTTCTCAGTAAGTGGGTAATAACATTTATTTTAATTCACAAAAGGCAAAAAGAAAATCCACAACTGAATTTTTATTGTGCAAAGTTTCCAAAAGTACACCAAAGAAGAAAGAAAAGTTTAATCAACTCCTATGCACCCATTATCCTGCTTCAACTACCAACACGACGAAACTCTATCCACCCACTTCTCCTCACTTCTGCCACAGAACTATCTGGAAGCAAATTCCCTGCATCTTACCATTTCTTCCGTTAACACTTCCGGGTGTATCTCCAAAAGGAAATCCATCATTCCGACGAATAGAACGTTAGCACGAGTGGCCAGAGATCTCTACTACCTTTCATTCAAAAACAGAACGTAGAGCGTTAAATTACCAATGAGAATAGCTCACAGGAAATGAAGAACAACTCTTAGAAATAACAGCTCTCATTTATGTTATGAAAATGAATATGTGCTTGTTCTGCAGCAAAAAGACAAGAATTAATGACCCTGGAAAGCGAAGATCGCTGGCGCCCCTAAAGCGGAGCATCTTCGGCTTCAAAGCTTCCGCCCTTAACTAGGAAACACCTCCCTCGGGGATTCCAGCACCCATCCACCCACCCACCCACCCCCCACCGCAGTCCCAGACATAGGCTTCTCACAAACCATTCATCAGACAACAAAAGCGAGCGGCCAGTTTTGCCGAGGTGACGGCCCCTAAAGCCCAAGACCATGCCTCCCCGCCCGCTTCAATCGCCGACAGCGCCTCGAGGTCCAGGTCAGGTCCTCTCCTTCCCCTTCCGCGACCCTCCCCCTAAAGTTGCCCGCTTTCCACCGGGACTCTCATCCCGGCCCCTCCCTCGGGAGACAGCCCACCCCTCCCCTCGGGCTGTCAAAGGATGGGACGCCTTTCGAAAACACACGCCCTTTTCCGGCCAAACTCACCGACGAAGGCCTGCAAAGAGAGAAAAGCGCACACGTCCTCAATTCTCCACCCAAAGCCCTGTCCTGCCACCCGACGGGAAACGTGACAAAGCACCCAGACCCGGACGCCGTCCGGCCTCAGGTTCCGCTAGCTCGCAGGCTCCTCCGCCGTCAAAGCCGAGCGCAGATCCCGCGCTCCCTTTCAAACTGACCCAACATGGCGCTGGCTTGCGGTGCGCATGCGTGGCGCTCGGGGGCTGGGGCTAGCAGGGCGAGGGGCAGGAGGCGGGGCGGGGCGTTAGGTCGCTCTCCCTGCTGGGAAGTGTAGTTTCTCCCTCCCGGTCTTCCTTGGGCGGGGAGGTTCTCGACTACCTCCGCGTCGCTACCCCTCGTGCCTTCCCCACCTCGGTCACGGCTCTGCGCGGCCGGTCTGCGCATATGACAGGCTGAGCTTCCTTCGGCCAGTTTCCCGGGGCTTCGAGACGGGACGGGGCGGGGATGGGGACCTAGGGCCCCGGCGGCTGCCGTTTCGGTCGCTGAGAGCGAGCCCTACAGCCACAGTCCTTCCAACACGCTCGGCCTCTCCGCTTTCAGAGCACCCCCTCCCCGGATAAGACACCGACTCGGCCGCAGGGGGCAGATCCCCCGACCACTTTTCCCTCCTCTTCAGGGCCTTCCCCTTCCCATCCCTGAGCCCGGCCTTCCTGGGTTTCCAGCCGGCCCCTCACCCTCAAAGCAGACGCGGGATTGGAGGAGGGAGTTTGGCCAGGGATGGGACTTAACAAACTCCTTGGGGACCTTGATTCCCAGGGAACAATGGCAGTGACCCAGCACGGATTGGGAACCCAGTCAGGCAGCCCAGAAACAGGGAGATTATACAAACATGTAAAGACCCACTTAGCAACATGTGTGAACCTGTCTACAAGGCTGGGACGGGATATGAGTTGCGAAGAATCCAGTTTCAACCGAGTGGTGTATCGGAAAAAGATGCCATCTCAGTGTTGGTTTGTGTTTATTTTCCACTGACCCTATGGGTGAAGATATCCTTGACCATTACTTCATCTGAATATGTTCCAGCTCATCCGATGTTACATCACCAGGTAATACAACTGTAGTCTTGCTGTTTGCTCTTTTCTGCTCTTCACCCTCTCTAGCCCAGTAAGCTTAACCTTCCCTTTTTTTCTTAGCAAATGAAAAAGTCCAGAAGCTACAAAATTTAGTTGAGTGGTTCAATTAAACACATGTTTATTTTGGCAGTAAGTAGTGCTAGTGATTTGAAAATGAGTAAGACAAAGTCCCTGCAGGAAGTTTACATGCTAGTGGTTTGTTCCAAAAATCTGCAATTTCTTGAGCCTTCAGTATCAAGTATGTTGCTGGTAGGAAATAAAGAACCGTGTTATATATGCTGGGACAAGCCCAGGTCAGGGACCAGCCAGGATTGTTAATGGCGTGACCTTAAAAACTTCGACATTTTTATCCACATTCCACATAAGTATCTTTTTAACCTATTCTTTTAAAAGATAATTTCTTAAAGGTTCTTTTTCATTAATATTATCTTTAATGTATCTCTTACTACGTTTTTCCTTCATTGAGGAAAGATATATCAAATGTTTCCAAATGAGTACCTAAAGTATAAATAAAGGACACTGAGAAAGTATTAAGGAAATTATCAAATATATTTACCTAATTCATGGATCAAAATAATTCTACTTCCACTTCATTCCTTCACAGGTTGAAAGCTATGGAGATCTCCACAAGGATTTGGAGAAGAGTCCTAATAATTATTAAAATTCTGGACTAGATCTACTAGGAAAGGTGAAGTAACCATGAGTCTACTAAGAAGGAGAAATTATAATGGTTTACTAATGCTTTTCAAATATACATGCTTTTCAAATATACTGGAGAACTAAACACGAGAAAATAGATTTATGATCCCACCTGAAGGCCTTTAGGTGAGAGCTAAGGAAGACGTGTGCTGATAATTAAACTTTAAGAAGGTTTATTCAGGCAGGTCTTAGGAGAGTTTTTTTTAAGGTAGATTTAAATGTGTCCATTTTAAGAAAAAAACTAACTTTTTGATCACCAAGAAGGGGCCTGACACTGTTTCAATCACTTCTACGTATATTAACTCACTTAATCCTTACAATGACCCCATGAGATAGGTATTACTATCCCCAATCTATAGAAGTGAAAATTAAAGTTCAAAGTTTAAGCAGTTTACTCAGAATGATAAAGCTGGTGGTGAGTGGCAAAACCAGGATTTGAATCCAGCTCTGTGTTGTCATATTCTTTCCACCACACCAGCCAGCTTCCCTTAATTGAAAACTGGGTGATGGGCCAAAGGACCAATGAGACTCCACCTTCCTGAGCTCATTCAAAGCAGAAACAGCATCTTACTCAACCTTTTTTGCCACATCTACCACAATATCTAACCCTTAGCAAGGATTCAGTAAATGTGTTTGAGTTGAACTGATGTGAATTTGATCCTCTCTGAAGAGGTAACATTTAAGCAAAGACACCAATGAAGAGGAGTCAGTCCTCTGAACATATTGGGGAAGAACATTAAAAACATAGGGAACAGCAAGTACAAAGACCCTGAGGTAGGAAGTTGCTTGGTTGTATTTGGGGAACAGCCAGGAGGTCAGTATGAGTGGAGCTAAGTGGGAGAGGAGACAGGTAGGAATTGTCTTTGGAGAGGAAGGCAGGGGTCAGATCATTTAGTGCCACTGCCACTCACTTTAAAAAGATGAATTCCCAGTAACACATGATCAACAGATTATGCTGCTTTACAAGAGAAAGGAAGCATGATTTAGCTGTTAGAAATAACAATTTATTGAATAACTATTATGTGCCAGGCAAAGGGGTAAGACATTTAAGTGCATTATTTCATTTAATCCTCATATCAGTTCTACCAGGTTAGGTATTGTCCCAGCTTTACAACTTGAGAAAATGAGGAAAGAGAAATATGAAATAACATGGTTCACAATTAGTCTGTGGCAGAGACAGGATTTGACCCAGGTCTCTTTGACTCCAAAGCCAAAGCCTGCTCTTTTTACTATATCACATTTTCTCACTTGAAAGACTATGAATAAAAAGGAAGAGATTCATGCATGCATGCATTCCAAAAGTAGTTATTGTTCATTGCTATGTGACAGACATAGAAATAGTATTAAAATGTAACACAGCATTTAAAAAAGTTTTGTATGATTACATTCTCATCAGTCATTTGTTTTTAAAACTTTGCAGGTAGATGGACTATAAGGCACTTGCCCAACAAATTGCTCAAGAAATTTTAGGTTACTATCAAGATACATCAGGCTGGAAAGTGGTTAAGACTTCAGTAAGAAGAGAAGTTAAATATGTTTCAAGAGTTTGTTTTTTAATGAGAAACAATTCATTGCAAGGACATTTTTAAAAATATTTTCTTCTACAAACCAAAAAAAAGTTTTTACTTTTGCTTTATTTTTTGTTTTTCATTTTTTCTGTATCTGACAGTTAATGTATTTGTGGATTTTTATTCCCCTTTGAGAAAAAGATAAGTGTTTCCAGCAAGGCTTCTAAGAAATTCCATGGAAATCTGTAAGTACAATCTCCTATTTACAATCATTGTTTTGAATTCAATGACATTGATGTATCTAGAGTTCAATGCTACTTCATTAGCTATAAAACGTTATTTGGTAGTGAACAGGAAGTAGAAATTAATTATAAAGTCACTTGTTTGAAATGTAAAATTAATAAAATGAGCAATATGTACCATCTAATTTCCAAATCGGAAGACAATCAGAAAAGAAAATCACTTCTAGTGAATAATTCATTAAGATAGGAAATTTCCACTTTAAGAAATAATTACTATAAAATTAGATTGATATTTTCTTTCTAACAGTATTTCGTGGTCTTTTAAAACTTCACCTTTCCATTAAATGAACCACTTAAAGATAAAGTTTATTTTCCCAATATATTCCTCTTGCTAACATATATAATTTATCCTGTAAGCTGCTTTTAAGGCTATTTTTGAGGATCCTGTTATTTCAGATACAAGTACTCTAAGGGAAATTGTGCTGACATCTTTAACCTTCTTTTTAAGAGTTGTTCCTTTGTTGCTCGTGATATCACATTAATGCCATCAGATCATCATATGCTATTGAGAAAACCAAATATTATTTAGTTTATTTTTGAGGGGTAGGGGTCCACTCCTTCTTTTCACTACTCTGTTTTGTGCTTATTGCTCTTTTTTTCATCTGACTATAATTATCTATCTTGTGTTTCATTTCAATTTTTTTACTGTGGGACAAAGCTGGTATACTTTCTCCTATTCATTTTAATAATTATCAGGAAGATAATCCCTACCTTTGTTATCTAAATAATTAATGATTCTAATAGTGGCACTTGAAAAAATAGATTGAGCAGGGAGTGGGTAACGTCAAGCCCAGGCACACTATGGGAATAAACTTTTGGATGTTGTAGCTTTTTGGTGCCTTCCAGGTCAGACCAGTGTGGACAGCAACCTATGCCTCAAAGAAACCTTGGAAGGTATTTATTCTACAAATACTTGCTGGGTACTTTTATACAAGGTGCTCTACACAATGCCTAGAGCCATTCAAAAAATAGCCTCAATAAGGCTGTTTTAAAGCTTTATTCAAATTTTTCATCAACGATATTGTACTCTTACATGCCATACTACGCAGACAAAAAAAATTGAAACTTTTTGCACTTGCTTTAAGAGAAATTTATATGCACTGCATACTAGTTTATTTATTAATACACAGTAATATCTTATCCCAAATCTTAGTGATTTAACAGACACTGTCTCATGGTTTATGTCATCAGGAATCCAGGTGTAGCTTAGCTTGGTGCCTGTGCCTCAAGGATTCTCACAAGGCTGCAGTCACGGTGTGGTCTGGGGCTTAGGTCGCATCTGAAGGCAGCTCTGCTTCCAAGCTCACTTACACAGTCACTGGCAGTCAGTTCTTCGTGGGCTTGTTAGACTGGGGACCTCAGCTACTTGCCAGCTCTAGGCTGGAAGCCTTCCTCAGTTCTTGACGTATGGGCCTCTCCATAGGGCTATTCACAAACGCCAGTTTGCCTCCCTCGGAGGGATTTAGGAGAGAGCCAAAGAAAGAGCAAACAAGATAGGAGCCAGGGTCTTTCTGTAACCTAATCTTGGAAGGGACCACCCCCCCATCATTTTGGCAGTATTCAGTTTATTAGAAGTGAATCACTAGATCCAGCCCTGACTCAGGGGAAGGGGATTACATAAGTGTGTCAATACCAAGAAGTGGAGATCACTGGGGGCCATTTTAGAGGCTGCCTATCACACGATGATTTTGGCAAACTCTCTTTTAATTCTTTTTTACAGTTGAACTATCGTGCAATAAATATCAAGCACAGCTTCAAAATTAAGACTGCTAGAAGATACACACATCTCAATTTTGCATGCTGCTTTTGTCAAGCACGGCCCACTGATCCTTCTAAGTTTAGCATGTTTATGTACAGAAGGAGAGTGTGACTGGAGCAGTTAATATTTTTCAAAATATCTATATTATTCTAAATCAGCTGGGGCAGATATTTAGGTTCTTCCAAAGGAAATCAATCTGAACATGTTGATCAGGTTGGTCTGCCTCAGTCGAAACGTTTACCTCCCCCAGCTTGGAATGAGAAGAAGGTGAGATTGCTGTCAAATAAATCAAGGGGAATAGCTAGGGAAGCTTAAAATTTTCCAGTACTTCAAGCTTCACAGTTTTATTTATAGGGTTATAAATAATCAAAGCAAGAAACATATGCATGTTAATTTAGACTGGCCAACCAAGTGTAAACATTGCACACTTTGGGGATATGTAGCATGGTCTAATATGGTTTGCCAAGCTAGTGTCTGGGAGAAATTATCCTTCAAAATGCCCTGTGGGAAAAATGGGTTGCATTGTCAAGTTTTTCAAAACCCTCTAGACTATTTTCTCTTCTCTAAGGTTCGGAGAAGTCCTAAAGTAAAGACATCTGTCAAACTGTAATTCAGACTCTTCCAAATGTTTTCAACGAAGAACATGCTTGCAAAACATTGACCTAGATAGATAATGGGTCACTCATCTCAGATTTGGATTCTAATAGAAGCTCTAATTGACTAGGTATGTACAGAGAGAAGTGATTTATTTTTCATTATCTCCCTACTATCATTCTCTCACATCTCATGGATTATTTCAGTAACTTCCTAGTGGATTCCTCATATATACCTTTACTCAACTACATCCTATTATTCACACAATGGTTAAAGTAGATTTTTGAAATATAATTCAGTGTTGCTCCCCTGCCTAAACTCTTCTAAAGGCTTTATTATGCTCTGCAAGGCACTATCTGGCCCCCACCTACCTCTCTGACCTCTCCTACCACTGCATCTTTGCTCTCCTTAATGCTACAGCCACGTAGGACTACTGTTGGCACGAATGCACATCTCAGAGCCTTCGTAGTTGCTCTTTTCTTGCCTAGCTCTTCACCCAAATGAAGGCTGATGTCATTTTTGTTTTCAAGATCTCAGCTTCATTGCTTCTCTTCAGAGGGACCTTCCTGGCCAATTGGTCAAAGTTCTCAAATACACCAAACCACTGTTTACTACCCTATTCTGCTGTTACCTTCTTCATAGCATCTATCACTAGATGAAATTTATCTTCTTCATTTGTTGTCTTATTTATTACGTCTCTCTTATTAGAATATAAACTTGAGAATAGGAACTTGAACAAGAAGCAGACTAGAAATAAACTCTTGTTCATCGTAGTATCCCTAACACCAGAACAGTGTCTGTCATATAAACACTTAATAAGTGTTTCCTGAATGAATTTATGGACTTTAGTTATGTTATATTGGCTGCCAAATAGAAAGCATTTAAACATATTTGTTTCCATTATAACTACAGAACAACAACAACAAAACCTGAAGATATTCTCTCAGCACTTTCACCTTTTCTTATTAATTTCCCACCCAAAAAGCTCCTTTTGTAGTTAGCTTTGAGCACTTGCCTATATGCATGAGAAGGGGGCCAGTTCTTTGGTTGGAATTTTTTTCCTTTCTACCCTCAAGAGATGAAATACAGACCTACCAGCACACAGTTCAGCTGACACATTCCCCTATGTTCCCTATTAATTCCCCTATTAATCTACTGTATGTCACACACTAAGCTAAATAATTTCATTTTTAAATTTAACCATATATCCCACAAATACTTTCTATTGCCTGTTGTTTTTCCTGTGTATAGATCACACTTTCCATGTTTCTCTGCATGCATGCCTCACAGTTTTCTTGAAAACTGGACATTTTAGGGAATTCCCTGGAGGTCCAGTGGTTAGGACTCTGCACTTGCACTGCCGAGGACGCAGGTTCGATCCCTGGTCGGGGAACTGAGATCCTGCATGCTGCATGGCTCGGCCAAAATCAGTCAATCAACTTTTTTTTTTAATCCTTAAAAAAAAAGAAAACTGAACATTTTAGGTAATATAGCAACTCTGGATACAGATCCCACCCACTCACCCAGGGCTGCTTATTGCTTGGGCATTTATTTGTTTAGTGATTTGTCTGGACTAATTCCATGAAGTCTGTTACCCCCCAGTCTGCAGCCTCAGATATACCTGCCCTGATTTTTGTCCTTGTTTTTATCTTTCAGCCTGGTATCCTATAGGTCATCCCTAGGTTAACACAAGCTATTATTGGTCACAAGTTGTGCTTAGCACCCAAAGCCAGTAAGATTTTTACCCTTTACTGTCAGTTCTGTGTGTGGCTTGGAAACTGTTTTCACAGTTCAGAGAGTTTTATGGTTTTGCCTTGCATGTAGCCAGGGGGCCGGTAGCTTGGAAGTTGTGTCACCAGTCATTCCCCAGAGGACATAGCCTTGGGGTGCACACATTCTTCCAAACCACCAGCGATGAGTATGATTTTATTTTAAAGTGGTCAGAATAGCTTATTGCTCAGTCAGTGATGACTCAGAGATTGTGCTTAAGTCTCCTGAGCCAGTAAGACTTCAGCCCTTCGCTACTTAATCTGTGTATGGCTTGGGGAATGCTTGCAAGTCAGTGAAGCCACATGTTGGACTGATTGCTCCTAAGTAGGGGCAGCCTAGCATATCCAGCGTGATTTGTCTGAGTAAGGACAGCCTAGTACAAAGCTCCCATCGCTCGGTTAGGGACAGCCTGGTACATCACTCTGAATGTTCCTTAGTAGGGGCAGCCTAGTACATCCACTCTGATTTCTCCTGAGTGGGCAACCTCGTATATCTACTCTCATTACTCTGATTAAGGGCAGCCTAACATTCACTCTGATTGCTCTTAGTAGGGACCTATGCACTAATACACTGAAGCCAAGTAACACTTCTACTCCATGAGCAAGTGGGTAGCATAGGGGAAGGATGGTACTATGACTTTCTCAGTTTGCTCCTGTTATTCTAGGGGTGAGGGGCAATTCAGGCCCCAGGATTCGCAGCCTACTGTTCCTTAGGCAAAGCCCTCACCCTACCAGTGAGATCAGGGTGTCAGGAAACCCTAGTCTTCTGAGCAGTGCATGCGGGGAATAGAGCTTCTACAACATGAGCTGAGAGTTTCGGT